ATATCGTATTGGATAGAGGTATATTAATTAAAATACGTTTCTTTCCAATATGTGTCTATTTCAACATGTTCCACAGAAAAATAACGATCAAGAAATGTAACAAAAGCCGGGACGCGTGGTCATTTATTTATTAGTTCTCGGAACGGATGGGCCAACTAAAATATTTTTGTCAACACAAATTATCGAAAGTTGAGGGCTTTCAAGTAGGTAGCGTCGTCCTTTGGAGATATTTACCAATATTTTTAACAAGTTCACTTTAACTGTCGGGGCCATGTGTTAAGCGTCTGGTATAAGAGAAAAATCGATATTTTTAATAACGCGCGAAATCACGAGAAGGGCGTAGAGGTTTCAAAGTAAAATTAATTCAAATTGAAAAATAGATAGTAATTGGAAAATAAACCAACAGATCAATAGCTGGTTTTTCGGCGGATTTTCCAAGCTATTAAGAAGATATTAAATGAGATTTACTAATCCGCCTGTAATTGCTACACGGAGTCACTAGAGGAAGGCTAGGGTTACTTGTTAGTAAGTTTAGATTCAGGATTCTTATATAAATGTAAATTCAGTCCATTAGACAACTATTAACATGGCATATTTATGCCAAAGCATACCGATATTCAGGTCCCCGCCAATAAGATAAGAACAGAAACTTCTGGACCCAAGAAATGTGCGTATCAAAGCGAGGTGTCGGATTCAGGGAAGATCTATAGCAGGCACATCTTCCTTAGATTTCACATTGAGCAGTCGATCTAGTTTTAGTTAGAGTCTCGGGCTAGTTAATTAAATTTAATAATGGCTAAAGTTTTTTCCAAATTTGGACCCCACACATTTTATATGGAAAACGGTCTTCCGGTGAAATTTGCTAAAAATTTGGGAAATTGTTCGTTTTGTACCCCTGATCAAAAGTGTCGATGGGGTTGAAGCTCAAAATGCCCATCTTTAGGCTCTACGGCAATTTTTAGTGCCAAAAACGGCAAAAATTCATTTTTTTAAATATGTTTAATGCTTGTACAGTCCCTTAAGTTTTCATTAAATTGTATGCGTGTGAGTATTTTATGTAGGAATATGTCCATGTCTAATTGTATGTGTGTATATGTATTTGTGTGAGAGGGTTTTTGAATGCACAATTATACAAGATTTAATATACACCGTCTCAATATTATTTTGTGGTTTTAATAACCTTCAATGAACTCGGAACTCTCATGCATTTTTTCAAAGAGTTCCCAAGAGTTGCCAAAGAGTTGCCAAAGATTTTTCAAGAGTTCGCAGTTCATAACTGAAGCGGATTTCTAGAGAAAGAATGTAAATAAAGCGAAATTGAAGACACGCTGAATGAATTTTTGCCGTTTTTGGCCACTAAAAATTGCCGTAGAGCCTAAAGATGGGCATTTTGAGCTTCGACCCCATTGACACTTTTGATCAGGGGTACAAAACGAACAATTTCCCAAATTTTTAGCAAATTTCACCGGAAGACCGTTTTCCATATAAAATGTGCGGGGTCCTTTTGCTATGGAGCGCGCATTCCCTGAATCTCGGTACGCTGTCGCGTGTAAATAAATTAATTGATAATGTTGTTCGAGTCTTTGTATTGTCATTTTGTTTGTTTGTTTTGTTTATTGTTATTAAAACTCTTCCTGGAAGTTTTGGTGTTTCTTTTTGTTTCTTCCAACTTCAGTGTCACCTTGTATAGCCAGCCACTGGATTACATTCTACGTAAGCAATAAAGGGTAAGTGCCTGAAATTCATTCTCTGGACATGCAACATTTCTAAGTTCCCACGTATCACGTATTAATTAAAAGGTAATGATAATTATAAACTCCCTTTCGAGAATTGAATAATAAACTCTTTTGAAATCCAGTCTCGTTATGATACTGGTCATAACGATACATAAATAAATAAAGAAATAACCCATCAGGTTACAGAAATATTAATAAGCAAAAGAAAAGAAAGGCGCAATTCTAAAAAAACTTTAAATAAATAAGGCACCAAATACAGGTACTTGCAAAAAATGAGAATACCAACAATTTTTTTTAATTCGAAAAAAATTAAAGAATAAAAAAAAGATCCCAAAGAACCCGTCTCATAAATTTGCATATTGAAAGAAGACTTTTTGAGAATTTTTCGAAGAAAAAAACGCCACTCAATTTTTTGGTTTAAAAATCAAAGAAACCCCAAAAAATCTCAAATTTGTTATATTTTCTTTTATAAAACTACATCTGAAAACGAACAAAATGAAAAAACTAGTTTATGATATCTTTAGTTTCTGCCAAGTTACGGGTAGGTGTTTGAAAATTTGTTGTCCAACATATTCAAAAGCTCACAACTTCTTGATGGGCTGAAATAAAAATGTTTAAATTTTTATGAAAACTACTCTAAATGGGTACTAAATAACACCAACAAATCAAGAAAATTAAAAGTAAAATGGTCGGGTCACGAATTCAATGATTTGGCATGAAATGCCCCATTATGCATGTGTGCTTACCTTTAAATGTATCTTTGACTTACGGAAATATTTTCCACTGATCTAGCGAAATTATCATACTTATCGCCATTACTTCAGACATTATCAAGCGTGTGTGATTATTTCCTTTCCAAATAGTTTTTATAATTAACGTAAATATATTTTCTTTTTGGCTGACGCTCTTGCTTTTTACAACACAATAACCGTCACTACAATATTTTAGAAATAAAATTTTCTCAGTGAATAACAAAATTACCACAAACTGTAAATCGTATTTAAAAATTTACTGGGAAATTGACTACTATCTGCATAATACAAGGTAGGAAATATTTATCAATAAACATCAACAACAAATAACATTAATCTGATTGATGCATTGAATTATAAACTGACAAAAGTATATCCAAAACATCAGATATATTTTGTAATCCAATATTTGGTGCTTGAATTGATTCCGTGCGTATAGCAAATTAACGACAGCATAAAAAATAACACAGGCACACAAAAAAAGTCTTGAACCAGAGGGTAGACCCCACTACTCTTAGGTTTTTGGGGTCGATGAAACCGAATATGACCATAAAAAAATATTTCAATTGCCTGTTTCCCCCCTGAAGTGGGTTAAATTTTCTATTTTCGTACAAAATTAAGATGTATGCGTATTTCTATGTTGACGCTGGGACGCTGAAACGGAAAATGACTACAAAAAATGATATCCACTTGCTTGATTAACGTGAGTCCCCTTGCCTCTCACGATTAGGTATTTACCTCTTTCTATGATAGGGAACTCTCTTGCTTTCAAATGATCTTCTAAGCCAGTTAAACTGTTATCCGCCTTTACCGCGTGAAGGTGTCTTAGTCTCAAAAGTAGATAGGCAATCAATTCTATTCCACCCACCATTCCATATTGTCTGAAGTTACTTATTTCTAGCACAGATTTAAAATTTTCTTTATTTATTTGGATATTTTACCACCTTTGAAAAAAATTTAAAAAATAAGGGAAAAACAAAAATCTCACACTGAGAAAAGCGGACAAATAAAAAATACACATCATTGTATTCAATAAGTTGTTGACATTTCGAAAATCAATTTGTTTTCGTTTTCAGAACAGATACTGACATTTCGTTTTAAAATAGGTTTTGATAGTCTTGACATTTGTCGGAAACGGTTAAAATTGATCTTGGGCAGCATAAGAACATGAAAGTCACAACCTTGTGTACATCATGTTGAAGAAATGAATGTATAAATAAGCATATGTTGTAATAATTATGTGAGCTGTATGATGCGTTAATCACTAATTAAAAAATGAAATAGTATCGAATGATAGTGAAGCTTGACTTAGCTTCTGAACATTTCTTGGTAGCGTAGTTTTTTGGCACTGCGAAATTAAATTATTAAATAAGGAAACAATGTTTTTAGAGACAATAAGAATTTTATATGATTAAATACCTGTTGTCTTGACTTTTTCGTCTTTTCTGCATAAATGCATCCGCTACATTTAATAATCTTATTATAAATTAACGTAATATGCCCCTGTGATTCCTCCAGAGCAATATCTAAAATTATATGAATATCCGATCCTTAGTTTTCCCTCGTGTGGAAGAGAGATAGTGTACTTCAATAACTAAAAAATCAAAGGTGCCGCCTTGAAGTTTACCATCTGATTGTTTTCAAGCTGCGATTAAAGTTTATATAATTAGGGTTCAAATATTCTATAGTGCTGCTCCATTCTTCAAGTGACATTTCACGCACCGATTGGTTATAAACTTAATTTAGCCAAGGTGGAGTGGCATTAATGCCCATTTTCACCGATATTATACTGATAGCAACTCAATAAAGCCTTATGTTTGAGTTAAACTTAATTTTTTGCGTAATGCACTGATTAATCATAATCCGAATTTGGTAAAGTAGTCTTACAGCGGCAGAAATCTAGTGACTTCCAGTTGCTTTATGTTAGATCTTTGAGTTCTTTTTCTTTTGTTTTTCTTCAGTTGATATCGTAAACAGTAAAAAGTGTTGAATTTAAATATTAAAATTTTCGTCTAAAAATAGATCAGATCAACGGAGCTGCGGGTCAGCCTTATAACACGTAATGAATGTATATTAATAATAATTTAATTTAATAATTCAAATTATTCCAATGAAACTTATTGAACAAAGAAGACAACAAAGTAAAAATTAACTTTCTTTAGTAATTTTGTAAAGAGATAATCATATATGAGGAGTATAGACGCAAAACTCACATTATCCACTTTTTAAAATTTTTCACGAAGAAGGAATAACTTCTCACTTTTCAAGTGATTTAAGGCTCTGAAATTTTTTTTTGGTATTTTGTATTGGAACTTTGCTAAATTTGCTTCTTAATTGGTGAAATGACAGCACAACAATATTTGACTCTAAGAAAGTGAATTAAAGTTTAGATAATGTGAGTTTTGATACAACTTTTTGGGTAATGGTAGTTTTGCTCCAAATTATTCTACATAAAAAAAAACACGGAACCAACCATCTAGGAAAGCAAAACAATAAGAGAAGCAAAACTCACATTCTCCTTAGGCAGTCGGCCATATTGGTTTAACGCTTTAAACTTTTTCATTGGTGGATATAGATAATTTGAGTTTTGGGAACTTCAGATCGTAGGAGAATGTGACTTTTGAAACAATTTAAAAATAAATACGAAAATGTGAGTTTGTACCACTTCCAAACTTTAAAATGATGTAGTTCAACACGATGCACAAGATAGCATCACTAACTCTATTTCAAAAAATTATGGATAATGTGAGTTTTGCATCTATACCCCAAATATATTTAAATATGAAAAAAAATCATATTTATAAATTAATTATTGCTTAAATATTTAGGTGCTACGTTTTACTTTCACTTTGTCTACCTTTTGTTCAATGCTGTGTAAAATATATGTTGGAATAAATATATGTTGTTTTATACTCTTTTTAATAGGAAATTGGCAACCAGGAATACGGACCATTTGCACTCTTAAACATCTGTTTCCAAAATCAAGAAGAATTTAGCGAACGATGGAATGAATTAAGCCCATTTAAGAGCCCCACCATTAGATTGTGTGGAGATTAGTGTTACAGTTTTAACTGCGCAATGGAACTTGAAACAAACATTACGGCTTGATATGTATCGTCTGGTATTTTCAATGTGTATGACTGAATATACCAGTTTTTCTCAGAGGTGACAAAAAGAATTAATGTATGTATTTCAATAAGTAAATGTTCTACTTCAGATTATAATAGGAGGGTTACCTTTTATGTTTCGGGAATAAAAAACAGAAATAGAAGTTAATCATCTTATATGGCTTTATGTTTTTCAAAATATTCTCCATGGGATCAATACACTTTTGCATGCGCTTGAAGACATCGATGTGCGAGATTTAAAAAGTCAATGGGTGCCAAATCAGGGCTGTGCGGCGGATCACTAATCATCTCGACTTTTTTAGTTCTCGAAAAGTCTCTTGTTTGAGCCGATGTCTGAGCTCGCATTGTCCTTGTGGAGAATGAAGCGTCTTCGGCGGTTCATTTCCCTTATTTTTCCGAAGATTTCTAGCAAACAAATGGTTGTGTACTATTCAGAATTGTTCCTCCGATGTTCATGGGCGTAGCTAGGATTTTTGCTTGGGGTGGGCAGAAGGCTTGCTCTATGAAGGCCACAAACTTACCAGTAAACCTCTAAGCACTCTTTCGTTTGATTTAAAAAAAGGTGGTGCACACAGTAATTTACCGATATGAGAAAGATGATATTATTGGATCTTTTTTTTTCTGGAGTAGACACCGGGCTTTCTGAAGTGGGTCGTGCATACCTCTGCCCCCCAAACAATGCCCATGCCGATGTTGTACTAAGGATACAATTACCACATGTCCGGTTTTTTCGAGAAAACAGGCGACCATTTGCTTAGAAGTGATTCATGCGCGCGAAAAACTTTTGTTGGATTTGGCTCATCTTGGAAGATCCACACCGCCGACTGTTGTTTCGGGCTCATACGCATAGATCCATGATTCGTTACCTATTACGATGTCATAGACGTGTTTTGGAACACCGATCGTATTTCTTGAGCATTTCTTTCAACCAATCGACACGAGCCTTTTTTTGAGCGTTTGTCAAATTATGTAGGATCCAACGCGAACAATTTTTCTGGTCCCTCTATTGTCCAAGGATGCTTCAATTCAAGTTTTCCGCTATTCATAAGGATGTCCCGCTAACAAATATATCCTTAACAAAATTTCGTAATACTGTTAAATCTTTTCTGTTAAAACATTGTTCTATAGTGTTGATGAATTTATGTGTTTTAATTAATGTAAGCCATAACCACATAACGTACTTTGTATGTATGTATAATATTATTACAATATTAATATTGTGACTTCAAATGTACTTTTTTGTATATAAAGTGGTCAATAAAAAGTAAGTAAGTAAGTAAGTATTTAAGTAATACCGAAATTTGCACCGAAATTAATAATAATTTCGGTGCAAAAGTGGCTGCAGCATATTGATACCCTCACTTACAATTTCTAAGAACACCGTAGCACTGAGCGTTACACTCCATATACTTTTTATTATCTCCGTACATAGGATTCTATGTTCTCCAAAAACTTTTGGCGGGTTTGCAACTTCTTAATTGCCGACTGGCAGATAATTAAGTGAAAATTAGTCGATTTCGCCTGCGGAAGACTAGTTATTTCCATATAAATTTAATTAATAGGAAACTTACGCAAAGAGGACGGAAACAAGCAAGTAAAGTTTGGAAACCGAAGAAGTTTATAGATGTCCCAGTTTACATGCTCGTATAATAAAGAGAGTAGGTAAGCTCTAACCAGGTACGACGAAGCTGGCACGCGGGAGGTATAGATAAGGTCTGAGGGGGATAGATTAAATGGATTTTACTCTAGACTCTAGAGTAAGGGTATAGCGGTTAAAATAAATTTACATAATATTTTGTTTCAATTTGCTGTGGAACATACTACAACATATGTGCACCAGAATGTACTCCTCATATATGCTGATCTTAAATGTTCTAAGTAACAAAGGCAAACTATCAATATTTAAAGAAGGTAAGGTTAACTTAAGTTCAACAAAAAAATGTGGACTCACTCGTTTTAAGGAAGTGAAGCGAAAGAATACAATACGAGTACATCTTGACAAATTTCACATGAGTTCTGAAATGCGCAAATCGAAAAGAGAATGCAATATTAGAATCAGATGGAAATGTAGGCAGTAAGTCACATATGAGCTTAGTTCCCCACTTCATTCTTTGTCATTGTGCGTCATACGTTCAGGACCCAAATGAATTTATAAGGCCCGGTACTTTGAGTCTCGGTTAAAGATTGATTAACTGATTTATTTTATAAAGTATAATCACAGTCTAATCGCCTGATTAATCAAGCCTTAACAGAGATTCAAAGTACCGGACCTGTACCGGGCTTAAGGGTTCGCTATATAAAAATTACCTATATGAGAAGGTACTTCTAGGTACAGGGTGCCCAAAAACAAATGGACCATACTACAAGAGAACTTCATTAGATGAAAATATACGGATTTAGATAAAGTTATTGTAATATGAGTCAAGAGCGGATTTTAAATTTTCGCCCATGTATAAATAATTCAAGAAGCCTTTAAAAAGCCGTTTACTGAGAAAAAATCTTGCCAAGTATGTATATGAGACCGTGAAGCAGAAATAGCAGATGACTACGAACGCACATCATAAGGCGTGAAAATAAAATTTTTCCAGAGGTTCCCCTACGAAACCCCAATTACAGCGCACAGAGTCACAAAAAATTTCACTATAGTTCCGGACTTTTGGAAGATAAAGTAATTCCAAATTTTACGAACGAGGCCCAATTCTTAAATTCCACGCATACGCCACTGTAGAACACTTGTGGACCCAGCCTGGAATATGTTCAGACTTGAGTACCCTGAAGCTTGCTTTTGCATTGTATACAGATACTGTTACTGCTTTCATTTATTGAGAAGTAGTTAAAAATTTAAATAAATCTTACAATTTTCACAAATTCAAAACGGAGTTAAAAAGTTCTCATACAGATTTATCGAGCTCTACACTCCTACAGTTCTCTTAGCTCATACCGTCCAGGAGCTTCTGAGCCTTCGATGAAGATTCCGAGGAATACAAGCTCCTAAAGCTTCCACACCAAGCACTCTACAGAGGCTGCACCAGCTTCCATACCGGGCACTCTAAAGGAGGCCACATATTATTACAAGATCATAAAGCTTCCAAATCAGGTACTTTCAGGAGGATATTCAGTATTCCTCGGACATAGTTAATTATTGTATAGTTTATTGTTGGAAATTAAACTAATATTAATAATTTCATTGAATCATATATAAACTCCTTTTGAAACCCATATTTAATGATAAAAAATATTTGATAAAATAATACTAGGAATATTATTAATTTCTCCTTACTTTTCCTTTTTGTTTTTCAGGCTAGCAAATCCGATCCGGTACACCTCACGGTGTTCCTCAAGCATGCAAAAGTGGTCCGAAAATGGATCCAAAATCAGATAACGTTCGTAGATGAAAAAAATGGCAAATTGGAAATCCTAAGTGACTGTTTTCGCTAGTTATGTGCGCTTTTGTATTTATGCTATACGCATTCATGAAGAGCAAAGTAGAGCATTTGAGCACACACGTATAATCCGTTTTTTAACTCCAAGTCAAACAAATTGAGCATGTATTTATTAGTTATTGTTGATAATATTTTTTTTTCGGAAATTTATGGGTAGGCAAAGTAGGATCTTCAGTTAATGATTATATTGAAGAATTGAAGAAAGCTTTGGAAAGTATTGAACAACTTTCAGAAACACTGAAAATTCACGTAATTCTTTCACACGTAAAAAAAGGTATCCAATTTATTGAAAGAAATAACGGCTTAGGTTTTTGGTCAGAGCAGAGTGGTGAGTCAATTCATCGTGACTTCTTGAAGTTTTGGGAACGTTATAAAGTAAACAGTTTTCATCGTGATACTTATTTACCAAATCTACTAAAAGCTGTAGTTGAATTTTCATCGCTACATCTGTAACTGTAAATTCTAAGTATTTAAAAAAAAATTACTACTTATTTCATTGTTATTGAAAAGAAAATTATCGAAACCTCTATAATTAGCTCGTTTGTAAAAAAATACTGGAAAAATACAAAAATAAACAAAACAAATTAAAAAATTAAAAAAATACAGAAAAAAAACAAAAAAAATTAAAAAAATACAGAAAAAAAAACAAAAAAAAAGGATCAGTTAACCACTACGTCCTTGCCGTTGATCCTGGGTCAAGCTAAAAGTGGTTTCAGTAATCTTGTTCTGAAAATCATGATTTTAAAGATGATTTGTCAATTTTTCATTTCATAATCTTTTTTTGATATTTGGTAAAAACGATTGATTTTGCTACACCTGTGAACTCTATAATTAATACATTTATATTGAAGGATTAGTATTAGCATATGATATGATTGTATAAATAAAACCATATCATTAACGGACACGTTGACAACTTCACAGACACAGATATTAAAATAGTTGAATTCCACAAGATTAAATT